AAATAATATATTTATTTTAAAAATTATATAAAATATATACATATATGCATGTATATATGCATGTATCCACACACACATACACGTATTCTAAAAGATCTGTCATTATTATATCAATTCCATGATGACTTTTTTTTAAAGCGCACTAATATTTCGATTATTCTATTATTTTCCATTTTAATATATTTGCTGTACTTTGTCAGGCCTATTATTATTATTTTTTTTTCTACATTATTTATTACAACAAGTCAAGTATTCGTTAAAGATCCAGCAAACCCCATTCGTCATACATTGGAATTCTCTTCATCATCAATTTTTTATAACTCTCGCTCTTTAGACCCGGACTTGAAAAAGTATCAGGATTCATGATCTCACCCAAGTCTTTCACCTCAGTCTTACAGCACAGTACTATTGGTAAAACTGAGAAGGATGATATCATTCCATAACTGGCTCTTCGTTTTAGAGTAGCTTTCAGTTCTTCCATGGTGGGTGGCTGCGTCTTGCAGCCCAGTTGCTTCATAGTCGCCGACAGTGCACCAAGATATTCATTTAATAAAACATCTCTCTTGTTTTCAATGACATCCGGGGAAGGACTTGTACTAAGAAAATATTGAAGATCGATTGCCGGCGATGTGTAGACACACGTTTGGAAATCCACCTGTAATATTAAACAAACTCTCTCGATCGATCGATTTTTTAAGCTTTTGATGGCAATTGAATTGGAAATGAAATCCGTGTCCCGGGAAAGAAGTAGGACTCGTGTGTAGGAAATCGCGGCGAGAAAGTTGAGAGAATTCGCGCGAATGACACCGACAGATAGGTAGGCGGATGTACCTGCACGTGATCAAACTGGATTTATGCATTATTCATAATATACTGCAATTCCAAGTATCTCATATTAGCGCTGCCTCTTTGTCTTGATCGCTAAAATCGATATTGCGAATCATTAAAATGCGTTAACATATACCGTATACTTTTCGGAATATTATATATTTATGTCTTATTTATTTTGTTAATTTTTATGTAAATTTATTTTGCATTTAACTACAACTTACATTGCATTCAATTACAAACATGATAATAAAAATCAGAAATATAGATAATTAAAGCAAAGTGACTAAACGATGCTATATCTATTTATATTTAATTTATGTTCACGATGCTTTACATTTTTCAAAATTAATCTTTTAAGATATAGTTTTAAAGTAAATACGCTGTGTTTCAACAATATAAATTATGTCATTACATGCAGGTACAAATTAGATTTCACAAATTTCGTCATTCAGTCTTAAATTTTAATCGTGATTATAATATAATAAATAAATCAATAAACTTGTATTTAAAGAAAATACATAATTTTTTATAATGTAGTGGTACTTACACCAATGTGCTGAACAGGTTTGCCATCATTGTCATATTTGAACAACATGTTGTTTACCCAGAAATCGCCGTGATTAATAACATTGAATTCATCCTCACATAACTTGGATGCGTTTTCTCCTATTTTATATATGCGGTCGGCGAGTTTAGCAATTTTTTCCGAGTATCTAATAATAAATAAAAGTCACATAAACATGGAATTTATGTTTATTTATGTTTATTTATGTTATCTTAAACATTAAGAATTAGATTAATAAATATTGCGTTGTAATATGCATGTAAATCTTACTTTTTCATTCCTGGCCAATTTACAACCTCATCTGCTAAAGCTTTACAACTCATAACGAAAAAATTTCTCAGTTCTAGCGGGTACTGATCGTTAAATATTCCTTTCGTATACATCTCTTTTTGCTTTGGTTCCTATTTATTAAAATATTTTTATCAAAGAACATTGATATTTGTTCAATTAATTATAAAATTTAGTAAATAAGTTTGTAGTATGGACTAGAAATTTGGAACGTTATTATATGTATACATGAGGCTATAGAAAAAAATCTTCGATATTAATTTCAATAACATGTGATTTCTTAACAAATTTAGAGAACATTTTTTCTTAAAGATAGTTACGAGGAGGACTATTTGTTACAATTTCTTAATGTAAATTTCAATATAAATTACAAATTACGATTTCGTAAATGTAGAAGGACTTACTGCTTATAATTAGACACATACGTGTCCATTTAAGCTAAAAGCTTAAAGCTTTTCTTTTTTAATTGGTTTAGTTTTAAAGGTATTTGATATACGCGATATTTTAGTCAAGAAAAAGTCGATTTTCCTTAGGTATTAATTGTAAGAGAATAATTTGATACATTAAATCAAATAATTAGGACTCTCGATAATAAACATTAAAAATTAAATCTGAGAGTCAACGCGGTTATTTGTGCGTGATAAATCAAATTTTATTTATTAGTTTTTTTTACATCTTCGTTTGGACGTTTCGGCTCCGCATTAAGCCATCATCAGCGGCATAACAAATACAATTTAATATAATTCTCACGATCTCCGTTACGCTATGAATGAGTGCTTCTGGACTGGAACGTTGGAAAGCCGATCTGCTTGTAACGTCTTGACGTATGGTTGGAATACATCATATGGTGATACGTCATTATAGTTAAGTAATCAGGAAAACGCAAGTATGAGAATTAATATCGTGGTCATTTTTAAATCCATTGTTCAGCAATGCGACTAAGACGACACATAAATATAAATAGTCTTGGACTTTATGATGCTTATGTGTCGTCTTAGTCGCATTGCTGAACAATGGATTTAAAAATGACCACGATATCAATTCTCATACTTGCGTGCTCCTGATCACTTAACTGTGACATTACATTCCAACCATACGTCAACACGGTACGAGCAGATCGGCTTTCCAACTTTCACCTCTTTCCAGTCCTGAAGCACTCATCCATAGCGTAACGGAGATCGTGAGAATTATTAAATTGTATATATTTATTTGTTATGCCGCTGATGATGGCTCAATGCGGAGTCGAAACGTTCGGACGAAGATGTAAGAAGAATAAATAAATAAATTTCGATTTATCACGCATAAATAACCGCGTTGGCTCTCATAGCTAGATTTAATTTGATATAGGTATGTTTTTGAGTAAATTGTAGTCTTTTTTTCATGAAAGATACTTTTTCAAATTGTTTTCTTGGCTAAACGCCGAGGCTGTAATAAAAGATAATAAAGGATATTGGACTTTGCATGGTTAAAACGGTACGTTATTCTTTGCCAGGCATTTTTGCTGGATCATTCGCCGTGTAGTTTCGAACTCTCATTCGACCATACAAAATCGCTGCGGTTTACGGTAACCATTATGCCGCACGCGCATTATTACAGTGTACATATCTGTAGTATCAGAGGTTTAGAACCACGACATTTTTATCTTGGATGGATCCAGTTACGTAACAATCGTTCATGGACATAATAATTTTTCCTTATTTTAACATTACATATCTGTTCAAGCTCTTATGAATTTTTCATGACTAGTTATAGTAATTTACTTGAGTATTAAATGCATCATTTATCGCAAAAAAGTGCTAAGTGCTGATGAGTGCTAAGTTTTAACTTTTCATTCATGCTATTAAAAAATTTGAAACTATAAATTATATAAATACAGCATAAGATTTGTGGCTTTAATATATCTGCAAAAGATTTGTAACTTTATTGTAAATGTATTTTATTTTGTATATATTTTATCAACTGCATCTAAATTTATTCTGAATTAGAATTCATTATACGAGAAATATAATTTTTCATTTTTTTTAAACAAAAGGTGTTGAATGTATGATATTTTATTCTACATAAATTAAAACGGTGAAATGCACAAAT